CCGGAGATAGGGATTAGCTCTATCTAGTGGGCCCAACTGTGTAGAAACCTGAAGACGGAGATAGAGTCCCATCTCCGAAACGTCGTTTTACGTTTTATATTTACTAGACGATGGATAATATCCAAGAAAATTTTTATTCAATTGACAATGATTATAGCACGCACATCATAAATATTATCGGAAAAGGCCCAATTCACTAACATCTGCTTATTATATAGATAGATATTTAAATACAATATAATTGCGTAATCCTTTTTATTTATGATGTATTGTAATAAGATAGCCCGTAATACAATGTATCAGAAAGGAGACTGTGGCTCTACAGTACTGCAGTGTTACGTACAGAAAATACAAGCGAAATTTGGTTTTAAAATGCTAATAAATAAACTGACCGGCAAATAAATGGAGACAAAATTAAAAATTCTCCTCAGTACAGTGTCGTTAAAAAATTTCTGTGCATACACAGACCCTAGGAAACACATGTGACGTGCGTACCCCAAAGAAAACATTACGTGTCTACATCACAAAAATCAATTGATAATGTTGTTTAAGAATAAATTCACCGCTTATTATGATAAGAGTTCAGTTCACTGTGATAAAATACAGAATTTGTGAATATTAATGTAGGTTCATAAGGTTATCACAGTGCTTTAAAGTGTTAAAGAAAACAAATGATAACGATAACATGCGATAAGACCCCCAGTAAAACAAACACAAAATACGAGAAATTTCTAAATGATATATGTCAATTAATTATTCTCTGAATAACGCCATAACCCTACTTTTCACATAATAAAATTATTAAACATTTTTAAATTATCAACTACTGCTTTTACTTATACATTAACTTCATTATCACCCTATGTACAAATGTTGAGCACTACTAACATAAAAATTTGGGATGGATTCTCATTTGTTTTTCCAGATTGGGATAATAATGGTGATAATATTATTGAGTTTGCAATTGCAAATGGTGGCAAACCTTCCAACATATCTTCCCGAAGTCAAACATGAAGAATTCTCCGCCACGGAAAAACAAAATTCTACTACTTCACTACAGATTACCGGAAGTTTTCATTCCGAAAGTAAACTATATACGGTAGACAAGGTACATAATGTAACCGAGAAAAATCAGATTGTGGCCAGTGATAAGAGTGAGACAACGCCGAACTCGGACGACAGACAATGGCGTTCAATTGGCAGCCAGCGCGAAAATGTTGAACACAATCGAAATAAAGCAACCGGAAGAAGATTCTGTTTTACTGATCAGATCACATTTAACTGTACCAATTTGGATCCAAACTGCGGTTACATAACAAGTGATCACATAGGTACGAATGACAGTAAATTAATTATAAATAATATATTACGTATTGTCAACTATTTAAACAGCATATGTAATGAATACAAACATAATAACGAAAGTAGAATCGATTAGCCTGATCGATTTAATCAGAATAAATCGATCACGTACGATACAGAAACAATGAAACGCAGATAACAACGTTAAAACGAGAAATACCGTGGGAAACAAAAAATTGTAAACACAAGTAACCACGAAAATTCAACACAGAACTACAACGATTAAACTAACCCTTGGCCTTCGTTCATATCTACCAGATATATACCACCTGCCATATCAAGAATTCGCAGCAGGCCATAGACAATAACAAATAGTCTGCTTGAACCCTCCCCCCTCAATGCACACAAACACAGTCGATGCGACCTTGGGAAACCCGAAGCAACCATCGCCCATCGCGTCGATCTGTCAGTCGGATCGTTAGACTAATTTAAATCTGTAGACTGCCGCCGTATCAAGTACTTTCGTTGTATATGTTGTGCCCCAGTGTGGCTTGATAATTTTCGAAATTCAATACTGCAGATAAAAAGGAAAGCAAATTTATCGGCTGCACGGTCCTCGCAGCATCGTTTCTCAATTAATGTTCATTTATAAACAACCTATTGTTTTCAGGAAAAAAGGCTAATAACCTAATGGAATTTCCATCGCGACCCAATCTGGATCGTGTCCCACACGTTAACAACTACTGGAGTAGCATTTAATACGTTTCATAATTCTCTACGAAACTAAGTTCCGAGGTAAAATTTATAGCCCTACGAATACTTTAACATTAATTATAATTTTTAATCTCACACGATATCTATTTCGGAATGCAATGGTACAAGAATTTTGTATTGGGATTATTTTTATGTCATAATTCGAGTAAATTGTTTTACACGTTTGACACCATAATAAACCATAGTAATGATGTACTACTTTTGCTAATTTAATTCAAAGCGAAAAGACACCATTCGTTTCTCCATCGTTTACTTCATCCCCTTCGTAACTACACCTTCTTCCATCCTTCCTTCCTTCCGTATTTAGTTCTCATGAATACCAACTAAATAACACCAATGAAATATAAACCATGTTACTCACCTCGTTACATCAACGTTTTCGCCGCCCATCGTAGAAGGATCCTGAAGACCGCCTAGTGTCAGCAACAACTATAAGACAGAACATTTTGACCTTTAATGTCATTACTGATAACTTTAAGGCCCCTGTGAGAGCAAGAAAACATATATTAAAGCAAACAAAAACAAAGAAACACACAATGCAGAAACTTAATCAAATCTATAAAACCAGTTGTTGTTTTTTACAAATCTGGTACCTAAAATAAATATTAATTTTATTTAGATCAACAGTTTCTATTCGAAATATTTTTGAATACGGTATGTATTTGACGGAATACAATGGAAGAAATACGTACTACCGAAATATTGACGTCAGGAAGGTGCGTGGAAAATGAAGTAGACATGAACAAAAAAGAAACCTATGTTGTTTCTAAATTGCCACACTGACACAGAAATGAAATTATAATTCACTTGATTAATAATCCATACGATTACAGGGCAATAATTACGCGTTGGTCTTGTAATGAACATCCTTAATGAGCGTTACCCTAACAAATTAAATTGTGGTGGTGGTGGCTTAATCTGGCAGCCGCCAAATTCACCGGACTTAACTGTCTTCCAAGTTAAAATAACGTCCTTTAGTGAATGACGTAATAACCAATTTAATTCCTTTACTAAAATATTTGTGGACACAAGAAGGCTTGCGACAGGTGAACCGATACATATGGGCCTACATTAAACAAAAACGAACGATAACAAAACAAAAGACAAACAGAAAAATTGTCATCCATTTGCGTCATACGCACACGAATACCAACAATAGAATGGTAATTTACCTTGTCTTAAAAAACAAAACATCGATATCACAACAACAAAAATATTAAACAGTGCTATTAAAAGTTTTATGAAGTTGACCATTGCCTGACATTCCTCAAAGAATACATTTCCAAAACTCGAACAGTTGCGTTAGATTAGAAAGGGGCTGACCTTTATCAGCGTACGGTCATAGGCAGTCAACTAAAGCTCGTCATCAAAATCAAGTTCTGTCAAAGTGGAATAGACAAATTTAAATCGCGAAAACGCCCATAAACAAATAAAAGTAGTACAGAAATAGATTAACACATAAAATCGCAAAACAAAGAACATAAACCATAAAATACGGAACAGCTAAAACATCCAAGAGTCTCAAAAACTGCACTACGCAAGAATATGGCGTCGAATAATCTGTATTGGACGCAATTTTATTTCGGTTAGATTCTAGGCATGAACGAAATAAATTTCGTGTTGGTTTTTACAGCATGTCAGCAGACATTAATGAAGGACATTAGTCACGCAATTTACATTATAAAACTGGCAGTAAAAAAACATTATTTGTACTGGTACGAAGCAAGTTAAGTAAGCATATGAAACGTGACATGTTATTAATTACACCAGTGATCGAATATTTTTTTTCAATTGCTCATTCCAGCAACTCACTGCTGTGAACCGTTAGTCCTCATAGTCGTCGCAAAGACTCCCAGAAATCCTGACGTACGCACGGCAGATACTAATAATTTACAACCAGGTATGAATATTAAAACTGATTCCTAATAACTCTGGGACTAAAGATCAGTGTCTTCTGGGATGTTTTACCGTGTAATCTGGTAGAAATTTACCGGCGTTTCACACCGTGTAATCTGGTAGAAATTTACAGGCGTTTCACAGGCGTTTACTGCCTCCATCACCAAGACAATAGTCGGTCAATTCCTACCAGAATAGGCGTTTACTGCCTCCATCACCAGGACAATAGTCGGTCAATTCCTACCAGAAATGCACGATACAACTCAGAAGACCGCAAAATGCTTGAGAACGTGATACGTCATAACTCTGAGATTCCTCTCAAGCTTGAGCTACGGACTAGTGAGTGAACAGTGATGCTCCTGTGTTTAAATAGCACGAAATAAAGGCGTATGGGGGATATTTAGGCACAGCATTAGAACCACGAATTCTTGGTACAAACTGGACATGGACGTGCATGGAATCTACAGTCAGTCTGGACGCAGTGGTCGGTGGAGAGGTCCTACCACTGCCGGGAATTGAACTCAGGTCGTCTAAACCGCAGCGAAATCATTACTCTGAGCTGTCCAGGAGCCATTGAGTGAAACATTATCAACCGTTTCGTGGTGAATGTGGAAATTCAGAAACATCAAAACAAAATTTCTTGTGATTTAGTCCTTAAAATTCGTATTCCCTACGTCTTGAGAAACTTTCGTAACACAGGGAGCAGTTGTAAAAATATTTAATCCTCAACGGTAATACTATTCACTTTCAGAATTAAACGTCATAACAACGTTAGTCAAGTCATATTAATAGTAGTATGAATATTGTGTAAGCATTAAAATAGAACTGAAAATGGTTTTAAAAAAGGAGAAAAAGATGTCAAAGGCAATTAGGCTCTTACGCCAACAGTAATCAACTTCGTAAATCCATGCTACCAACCCAGACCCTTAAATGACCATGTTGCCGATGTTGTAAACTTGCAACTACGTAAGTATTGAAGAGAGACTTTTGAACACCCTGTACAAATCCCACACACCTCATACTCCTTGACTATGATCTGACAAGGTATACATTTACTTTCAGGTGGAGGCAACAGCTCCAAAAAAACAGTAAATTATGGACAAGGCTGGAAAAATTCTGTCCACTTTCATATTTCTTTCGGTCCTATACGCAGCGTACAGTGATTACTTGACAACGGAGCAAATAGGTACGTTGTTATGCGTGGATGAAATCGCAAGCCACCACTTCACACAAGGGCAGCCTCTAGTGATCTCGATGCCAAGCGTTTCACCAGAATTTTCATATCGCACCTTGAATCACAGATATTCTGCAGGTATCGAATTTAAATTAGTTGATCAACTGTTGAAGAACACACACTCAAGAACCAGGTGGCCTTTGCTGACCTCTCAGCCAAACATCGAAATTCTAGACACCAAGATGACATATAAACATGAAAGCTACATTATATTACTGTGGGCGGATGATAAAGAGGAAAACATTCTAAGAACCTTACAAGATCAGTTGGACCACATGTCGGGATATGCAGATTCTTGGAATCTCCGCGGAAGGTTCCTTGTCGTGGTGACACAATTCGGAACACAATCCCCGAAGACTATTGCGATGAACATCACAGAAATATTGTGGCAGTACAAGATCTCCAATAGCCTGATAATGACACCGAGTGAATTACAGTTTAACCCTGCCACGAATAAATCTGAATATATTTTCGATTTGTACACTTGGTTCCCGTATGAGTCAGGACAATGCGGAACATTAAACGATATCGTTCTTTTAGAACGATGCGCTTTGGGGAAGGACAGAAACACTTCGCTATACCCTTCTAAAATCCCAGAAAATATGCACGGGTGTCCTATCAGGGTTTTCACTTTCGCAAGCAAACCAAACGTAATATTAACAGTTAAACACGATAAGGAAGATAACAGTAGCATATACGAATACTCAGGTGTTGAAATTGAATATCTCAAACTTTTGGCTGAGGCGATTAATATGACTGTCAAGTATCTTCCACCTCTGGATGACAAATTTCATTTATCAGACTTCTTCTTTCATGGCCTGATATCGGTCGTGAATGATGAGGCAGATGTTACACTGGGAAACTTTCCACTACACCATCGAGCTACCGCCTACTGCGAACCTACAACACCTTACATCTACGCTTCCTTCAGGTGGTATGTACCATGCGCCAAGCCTATTCGTAGGATAGACAACATTATAAATGTGTTTACCGTTCCCGTGTGGTCGACACTGGTCCTAACTCTCGTTCTATCTTCTCTCTTATTTTGGGGCATGTCCAGTGGACCTAGCAGGTCTGTGACAAAGGAGTCTACCACATACAAAGCAGTCTCTCAGTGTTTTAGTAATGCCTGGGCTGTTCTTATGGGGGTCTCTGTTGCAAAAATGCCAAGAACCTTTCGACTCAGAGCATTCTTCTTTACATTTGTTTGCTACTGTTTTGCAATGAACACTGTATTCCAAGTATATTTCACGTCATTTTTAATAGAACCCGTATACGAGAAACAAGTTGAAACGTTTGATGAACTTCAACAGTCTGAAGTAATATATCTTGCGCATCCATCTCTAGACGAAATTGGCGTGTTAATAAACTACGACGAGCACAAATTGCTACCACGTCGAGAGAATTGTGAGCCCTATGAGAAATGTATGTTGCGCGTATTACAGGGACAAGATGTTACGACAATGGTCATGGACTTTTATGCAGAATACTTCGCGTCCACAGCAGGACAACGTAAAATTGGGAAGAAACCGCTGTGTTCCATTGATAAGGCTGTATTTACTATGGGCCTTACCATGTACATGTCCAAAGGTAATATTCTTTTACAGAGATTTAACGTGTTGATTCAACGCTGTTTGGAAGCAGGGCTTGGTGACAAATACTGGTCAGAATTGAAATGGAATGCGACTATACGCAAGTCTGACGAACGCGTCGATGATGATGATGATGTATCAAGTGGCAACCTTATGTACTTTGTATTTACGGTGTTTCACTTGAGAGTTGCGTTTTGTTTGCTTGCTTTCGGGAATACACTGAGTTTTATCGTTTTCCTGGCTGAGCTTTTGTCAAAACTTTTTTTTCCACGTGTAGGATTTTGTAAGGCATAGGTTGAATGTTTCGTTACAATGTTCGCGACAATGAAACCTAACCAAAGCCAATTTAACTAGTCCACAACGTCACTTTCTCTTTCTTTAAGATATACATTTATATTATCCTATTTAAGCAAAGTACTCTCGAGTGTTTTCCAACTAAAATATATGTGTCTCATCTCACCAATGTGTGCTATATACCCTGCCCACCGCCTTGTTCATGATGACCCTAACAGATTCCCACTATTTTTACTAATACGAAGACAGTGCATATCAAATGTACCTCAGACAATAGACAATTACCAAAATAATACCGATATAATGAATCGATCATCGGCACAAACATTCAGAGAATCTGGTTCAAATGTAATTTTATGCATTACACTTAAATGTGCTCATGAAACATTCAATAAACATTAAATAACAAAATGGCTAAAGGATATAAGTTCAATTAACAGTTTATTCTGACATTAAACAAACAACAATGTTCTATTTACATTGCACATTTAATCTCACAGCACACTTTTGTGTAGGTTCTCAAGATGATCCTATACATTTTACACCACATTATTAGAACAATTAACAGTGAACAACAAATAACTGCACTGTCATTTTATAATTATATGCTTCCATTTTAATTATTTTCTTCGTTCTGAAGAAATTCTACAACTAAACTGCTCCCTAATTGTCCAGAATATAAGTTTAACGCTATCGCATTACAAAATTTATAATTTTATTTGAAGCCTAAAATAAGTGTCTGTCCCAAAATATTTAACATTATATATTCCAATAAAAATACAGGCTAAATTTCAGCAATGAAATGGTTTCAAAATGCAGTTTATCTGCACATTAAAATTTTCTTTAAAATTCATAATTATTTTTAGCCAATCATTATTATGATACCCACTTTTATTAATGCTATTATTCATTAACACATTTACAGTTCTAGTCTGCAATTCCTTTTTTAGCGTGTCTTTGTGACCTATAACTAATTTTATGACCTACATATGGTATATAATTTATGCTAGATACGTGCTGCGCATAAGAACATTTGTTGCAGATCCGACAGTCAATGATTACAGCGCATAATCATATTTTCTAAACTCTGTGAACCACAGAGAAAGTTATGAAGCAGCGAATCATACATTCCAGTTAAGGCCGATATAATTTTAAAATGTTGCGATGATGTCATAATATATTAAAATTATATTATTAAATACAAACAACTCACAAGAAACAAAAGAACTTTACTGTAATAAAAGTTTATAGAAATCATCTTCACATTTTAAAACATTTTAACCACAATTAATAAATGAATTTCCAACGCCACGAACTTCAAATGAACATGGTAAACCTCTCAACCATAGTTGATATAGTGCCATTAACTAAAATAGTTTTCTGAAATGCGGTGCATTTAAAATGTACTTTACAGTGCACACGTGCAATTTAGCATCAAATATATTCTTCAAAACTGCCTCCTTTGCAGACTAAATGTTTATGGATTTTCTGCATGTATACATTCCAAATGTAATAATTTATTTTCATTAGCAATATCCCAGTACTTTGTACATCGGCTTCTATTATCATAACGATCCAAGTATAAAAAATTTTCAAATGTGAAAATATCTGCAACAACTGTTAAAATATGCACAGTCTTATGAATTCTACTGTACTGATCTGCCAACACCGTCTATTTATATTCTGTTATAAGTCCTAGGGAGCATAATTATATTTTGGTGAAGAACATGATTACAGAATGTTACGTCTTTTTTGGTTTAGTTAATTTTACCACATATATATTTAATAAAAATGTTATTGTCATCGTATCTCTACCTTTCTCCGACCTGAGCCGTTCATAATTAATATTAGAGATGCAAAACAAAGTACGCCGGAGAACAGAAATAGATGGAAGGAAGAAGAATACAACAAAATTTACAGTGATTCCAAACTCTTGTGTCAAAAGGTGATAAAGTTAAAAAAGTTTAAAAAGGAAGAAAGTGGATATTGAGAAACTGTGTGTAAGAGTCGTGCCATACGAGTGAGTGTAGGTAAAGCTCCACAGGTTCTTAACTTCAAAAATCATTAAAAGTGAGTGAGCAGCTGCAACCACTTTATGCCTTTTACCTATTGGGCCCCAGATCCTGTATTCTGGAAATGTCAAAAATGTGTAACGCGCGGCACATTTTTCAGTCTTCGACCTTTAACGAAGGCAACTACAGTGACCGCAAAAATCAATTTAGCCCTGGAGTTTCCAGAACCAGCCACTTTGGCACAGAAATGCATGTGTTACTGCTGACGAATTTTAAAAATTTTAACCAAAATTTGAATGTGCCAAGATATTTTAGTAAAAGTGAACAAGATCAAAGTTAATAAAAATTTGTTTCCAATTCAGTACTCATAAATCCTAAAATTCAACACTACACAGTCCCAGCTGTTGACATTCATAAAACAGAACATTAAGAAATAAATTTATGGCAAGTTTTTTCATTAATGAAAATGTCCACATTAGCTTTGTTTTCTGTCAGTCATGACTATCAAGAGCCAAGAAATTAGATGAAAATGCTGAATTTGTCAAACTGAAGAGAAGCAAATTATGTATTAACCACAATCTTTGTCCAAGAACTCAATAAATCCATGAGAAACTAATCAAAACATCCTATTTACTCTTGAACTCAGAAGAGAGGAAGTACATACAAATAATTTTAGTTTTTACAGCCAACTACCAATTATTCACATGATAATATTCTGGTACCTACATAAATGTGACAAAAAAACACAGTGAGTCTGGAAATTAACTTCTGAAAATAAACTTGCTGTACAAACTAAATATGCCTGTTCTTTCAGTATCAACCCTTTAAAATACTGTGTTATATGTACAATCTACTTCAACATTCATTAATTCTGTATTTTGCCACAGAGCAAAGGTTTCGTATGATTCTAAGTGCAAACAGAAATTAATTCCTTAAACAGTGTTAATCAACTGGTCTTTGAACATTCCATTATGTTAGGTTATGTAGGCCCGAACTCCCAGTATTTAAAAATATGTTCACAATTGGTAGTTGCTTGTGTTAAAATTTAAGAAATATTACTCTACTTAGATTAAAAACTTGTGATTAGAACTTTTGCTTCATATTTTAATAAGTATACAACAAATTTTAACATCAATAGACTGGTATTTGTATGAAACTTCTTAATCAATGGACATGTTTTTGATTCTATCCTAAATTACTCTACAAGTTTTCTTTCAACATGAGATTATTATATCACCAAAACTTGATACTGATGCTGCCATTAGCCCCGTTTGAAATTGGGTAACATTAACCAACAGAACTTCATGTACTGTACATACAATATACAACCAACAGAAAAATATGTTTGTAAAAAAATTCAAGATAACCCCAGTCGCCCAACACGTAGCTTAGTCGCTATACTGACAGAGCTATCCCAGCTCCCGTTCCTTTGTTTGTATGACAAGTAAATGGATTTCAAAGTACAGACACCCCTTGCTAGGCAAGGTTATGTATTATTACGAAAATTACCATTTTCTTTAAAAATATATGTAATACCCAGGGAGTTCTTGGAATGGGGAGTGAATTTAATATTCACTACAGATATGAATTGGTTCGACGACTTCATTTTTCCACACACTAATAAATTTAACTATACTTACGATTTTTTAAATAGTAAATCTGCCGCCTAATTTTTTGATTGCGTTGACCACGTCCTTTGAACCAATCAACTTCTACCGTATGTTTATCTCGCACAGACATGTTATGACAGAACGAAAGTGGATTTTCGTCAGGGCAGAAATAGAAACTGGAAAATTACTCTTGATTACACACGAAAACGAGGCTAAAACTACAGATAAATCCCGCGTTACCGTGGCAGCCACTGCTGATTTCCGGAAACAACGCCATAAGAATACTTATGGCCACATTCCGAAGTTGTTATGAATTACGAAAATAAGACACCTATTAATTTTGTGATTCACATACCACACACACTACACTCAAAAGTACATCGGATTCAAATTAAACAAGCATCTCCATACTTACGATTCTTTCTGCAGGCATTAGAGCAAATTAATCTCACTTTTATTCTGACACACGCATAACCAAGGAACATTAAGTAATGACAACTTGTTCTACAAATAGTTCAGAAATATGTGCATAGATAGCAGAAGAGTGTTAATCGATTCTGGCAATTTTCAGCAATGCAATGTTTCGATTACTATTGTTATAATAAACTTACTTGTGTGTGTGTGTGTGTGTGTGTGTGGGTTGGTTGTGAGAGAGAGAGTGCTTGCATGCTTACGTGCGTGAGGGGGGCCGGGGGGGGGCTGAAGTTGCCATGCGATTTTTGCAGAAATACGACTACTATGACAATTTATTGCAGCCACAAATCATTAGATTCCCAATACCAAAGTTAATTGAAATCCATTTATTAGTTTCAAAGATAAAATAAGATGGGGCAGGCATAATTACTGCATTATAAATTTATTTCATGGACTTTATAAGAATTACACATAACTCTTTTAAATTAATATTGTATGATAAAACACCTGAATTTTAAAAAAATAAAAGTAAAGTTGTTCCTGTGCTTAATTAAGCAATATATGATTTTAAGCGTCTCATACTTTGAACACGACATGAGTCAATTCTGATTAAAGAAGGCATTTTATAGCAATGGTATGTGGCAATGACACTAATGCAAATATTAAAACATTTTTTAAAATGTTTTAAATCCCGCTCCTTCAACCTACTTTAAGTAGACTTCCATATTCATTACATTAATAATTCCATCTGAGAGAAACTTACTCATTGAATTTTCACCCTTCAGATCACTGAGGCCATGGCAGCTTTGTATTAAATCACATATTTTGTAATTATACATAAGACCTACACCTATTTCCTTAAACATGGCTGTTAATCATGCATAATAACGAAGCAGAATTGTATTTAAAAAATAAAGCAGAATGCAGATCCAAGAAATTGTTTGTGCATACGACTCTCACAGTCAACCATCACCTGACACACTAATAATTAATAATTAATAATTAATTAATAATCAAATTGAAGAACATCACTGTAAGTAGAGCAATGTTTCTTAAAACTAACAGAATTTGTAAACCACTACACTTTGTCTTTTAGTTATCACTAATTAAAACAAGTTAACTAATCTAAATATTATGGATTAACCTTTATCATACAGGAATAGGGGAAAAAGTCCCTGCATCATGGGGTTGCCAGTCAGTAATTAACAATGAATTTCAGATAACAGCTCAGCAGTATAACACTGCGACACACATCCACCTGGACACACGTGGCAGATAAAGGTTAAACACGTATTATGTAAGATTCACCACATAGAGAACAAGTCTTAGATCAACTCAAAACTAAATATTATATAAATACACATTATTGCACCATTCCGATATTCCACCATCATGAATTTAACGTAATATACAAATCACTTTAGATATTCATTATTGTCATCATCAGTACAGAGCATATGGTAATATCACATGGGAATCATTACACGGTAAATCACTGCACTAACAATGGCTGTCAAATAAAAATATCTAACCACAATGTGTACCTATCTTTTGCTCGAGCAGGGAAAAATACAGATAACTGTTGATTTTAAAATTAATGTTTGTCTGCCACAATGTCAGTCGAATACTGAATCGAACCAAACCTAAAGCAGCATTTATCACGTATTTGACAAATCTCAATCATGTTTCATAGTTCATTACTGAAGCTATAACTTGATTTTAAATACATATTTTATTGGAATTTCCCAGTTTAAATGACAGCCACACATTACTGTTAAGTGCAGATGCATAAATTTAATTTATACTTATGTTATATTATACTATATCTACCACAGACAAAACTACTGCAATAATTCTGCATATATTCTTAGCCCTGTCTTTATATACTCAGACCGTACTTTATAAATCATAGCATTAATTTTTTAAAAATACTAAATTACAGATAATTCATAGCCAATTGCACCCATGGCTGCAAATTGCTGCACATTTCTAAATTCAAAAGTTACTTCCTAATCCCAATTTCACAAACTACTGTGAAGGGGTGACCATGTACTGCCAGTGGACTGATAATCCATACTGAATACGAAATGGCAGTGGAATGATATTGACAAGGGAAAACCAAAGAATTTGGTGAAAAACCTGTTCCAGTGTCACATTTTTCAACACAAATACCACATAAACTGCCCTGGGCATGAACCCATGCCTCCAAGGCGAGAAGATGGTGACTAACCGCCTGAGTTATGGCACAGCCGTGCACAAACCATAACAGTTTTTAAATATATAACATATTCACAGGGCAATTAATGTCCAACATTTGGATGTAATTAATAATTGGTATAATTCTTCTAAGAAAATGATATGTAACAGTATTTAATTGGTCCATGTAGACATGCATGCAATTCACTGGTTTCTACTTAAAGAATTAATCGTGATTTTGTGTTAGTTAAAATTGGAATGTCATTTCACTTTCTTACACTTAATACACTAATGTCTTTCAACATTTTGAATATCAGGAGAAACAAGAATGCTGAAAACAGAAATTACTTTTAAATGCTTTAAATGAAGGTAGACTAACTTGTGCCTTTAATATTCCAATCAGCAAATGTTTCCTCAATTCTGTTCAGACCTTCAGGATTATAGATTTTCCTGAAGAGGTGAAGGCACATAAAAGAATTTAAAGTTTACTTACAGAAACAAAGTTCATACACACTTCACTTATTTCCTTGCATTCTTTATTCTGCCTAATTTCATTTCATTTTCACATAAACCTCATTTGTATTCATTATTTTTGTTCCAAAATACATTTAGAAATATTCTCAAATTATTTGTGACATACTTATATTATTAATTTATTATTGATTTTGGTTCACATTATATAAATCTGTACATTAATAGCAGACATTAATTGTAACATATAATTATAAACCTTAATTATGTTTGTTGATGATAATATTTGTAACGTATACTTGCAATGTCAAGTTGTGTGTAAATTTAAGAATGTTATGATTTGTGATTAAAGGCTCTCTTTCATACTTCAATTGCATTGCAGGAGTCACAGATAAAAAGTCTTATTTAATACATATATATTAAAAGTGAACATCTACATACATAAATTAACAATAAAATGGGTTATGATTGAAGTACAGCAAGAGACTGGAAGATGTAGACCCATGAAGTATTACCCATGTATTAGAAGATCACATATGAAAGGATCATTATTGTCAATCACTATAATACAAAAAATTAAAACTTTCTTTCTGAAATATCACATTAAAAAGATATTTTTAAAATGTAATAAAATATCACAACAAATGTTGGCAACTCTTAAAATAGCCAAATATTTCTAGTGACAATTTCTGGATGTAGTTGAGACAAGAATTTGTCTCGAGTGATAACGAGCATGTTTATAAGAATATGATAAAAAGATAAAATAGCAAAGATGTTGATCCAGTTGTGTGTTCCAGTGTTGAGGCATGCGTAAACATGTCATCACCAACTACCATTAGTACAAAATATGAGCTGTGATTGGATCAATGTGCCAGACCTTCCAAATTATCCAAACTACAGTGACTTCTACTGTACTTGGGACAACACAGTCTCATTTGTCTAAAAGAGGGTTGTCCAACTTCATGAGAATGAAAGGCCTTTTCCATAGTTTAATATCAGATACTATAAAGAAATGATTCACAATTTTGTAGTAACATGAGACTACAAATAAAAGGCTCTCTTGTAATTTTTATGCAAATAGATATATTTATTTATGCAGAAATGTTTTTAAGTATCAAAGTAAACAATACACACTTCTGAAATAGTTTGAAATTGTATTTAATTTTTTTTTCAATTCTGAAAATACTATAAAAAAACATTTATTATATTTTCTTAATTTAAATTAAGTTTGAAATTTTTAAAAAAATAATTTGAAAAATTCTTATTTTTTTGTAAAACATACATGATTAACTCATACAAACATTGTAATTTGAAAGATCATGTAATTTTCTCATTGTCACCAGCTGGACATCCCTGAACTAAAACACTTTACATGTACCAACCCTCGGGGCATTTAGTTATGTACAGAGATATGTTGCAGTAGAGATCAATATTCTTGATAGTGTTCTGAGTATTGCTGCGTTATCGACTTTGTTTATTATTACTTAATAATTTGTAACTAATCTAGTTCCTTAATTTTGCTCAGTATTCTGCTTTCCATTATTTAAATACTCATTAACATTTACTGTAGGAGCTGTCCATAAATCACAGACAGGTACAGTAATTTTAAAACAATGTATTTCATGTAGGATTTTGGTGACAGATAATAATCTTCTGGGTTGTTACATCATGCCTTTAGCCTTGAACATTGAGGTACTAAAAGTAAAAAAAAATTAAAAAGTAAAGCTGTCCCACTATACGCCATGTAGGCGCTTGGGGGGGAGGCGGGGTATAGCTCCTTACTCATTCTTGACCTCAGCACTAGATGGGGGTGAGTGGTCAGGAAAGGACGCCGGTACCAATTGAATAGGAGGCTGGGTGGGCCCCAGAACTGGTCTGGATGCAAAGGCTAGAGGAAAAATCTTCTGTCCCCCGTTGGGGATTAAACCCCGGTCGTCCAGTCCGTAGCCATTCACTATACTGAATGAGATATGCCGACTCATGAACATGGAGGAACTATGTGGCTCCAAAACACTGGCACACAGACAAAATGCTACATGGTGCGATAACCCAGAAGCCACCACGTAAATATAATTCATGTAATGAGAATTGAGGTTGTCACAGCAATGAAGGTCTTGAAGGTTGCTCTTCTGGATTGCATCACTGCATACTGCAGCTCCACAAGAAGTCACAATCCAAAGGAACAAGATCGACACACTTCACGTTGCCATGTATGTAAATTTACTACTCAACTGGGATATGAGCCAGGTAATTCAGGTTGTCCATATAAATATATTATTGCTTAATGTGATATTCCTTTGTGTTTTAGTCAGGAATTCAACAAATGATATATTTTTTTTTAATTTATGACTATTAGGCCAAAGTGTAGTACACGTATGTAATTTTGTTTAGGAATCTGCATTTTAAAATGGTGTAATAAAATAATGTTAATTTATTTGTAACTTATGGATGGCTCCTCGTAACATCCCAAATAAAATATATGGTACTACAGTATATAACTAGAGAAGTGAAACACTTATGTTTGACTGCATAAAGTTTGACTTCTTTTCTCCAGTCACATATTATAAGAGAGTTCCAGTTTCTTTCAACATGTATTTACAATTTAATTCACCTTATGACTAATTATACGGTGTTTTCTGCACATTACCAAGGGGAGCTGGGTATTCTGGCAGGCTGAAGTACAGCTTCTAGAAAGTGACACTAGGTGTCATCCTCATCAACACCACCAACAGGACAACAGAGTCCTTCAGATCCATCCTCTCGGATGCAGAACAGTGTCTTTTCAGCTGTAGTCACCTGGTGAGGAACAATGCCATGAAATTCCCGCAAGTCCTCACTTGGGAACCATGCTTTGTCATTGTCTTCAATAATCAGGATCCCAAAGGCCCTAAAACAGAAATATTTTGTGAATGCCAATCTAAGACAGGCTGACAAACTGTAACTGTAAATATAATTCAAAGCCACTCTTAACCAGATATGTGCACAGTCCAGATGGCCACGCATTGCAGTAGTGTACAGCTAAACTGTTGAATCCCAAATTAAAATCCAGCTAACAGCTCCATGATTTGGGGGTCTAAATCCATATTAAATTAAGGTTAACGACAAAGTTTATTTTGTATCTAAGCACCATAACAAGAAGTTATATTTGGGGCATAGAAATGAAATCAGAACCATACAGAGGTGGATGGACAGTTTCATATTGTAACTACTTTACCTCAAGGAAATAGTTCACAGTACCCACTAGAGAAGAAGCCATTTGGATGTGGCGGAAAGGAAAACATTTAATGATTCTGCTGGGAATTGAACCCAAGTCATCCAGCCCTTAAGCTCTCACTTTAAAAAGCTCTATCAACTTATCAGTATTTATAGGCAGAAGAAATAATTTTTTAGTCTTCTGGAAAGATGGAATAACTTCTTATAACCACAAATCTCATATACAGGTTCTGTTATTACTGTTCCATCATCAGTGTGATCAGGTTCTGGTCTTTTTTCAAGTTGTTTCTACTGGGCTATACTGCAATAAACATAACATGAAGACACAACGCTGAAAATTAAGATTTTCATGTTGATTAATCTGTACAAAGTTAAGGCAGCAACTTTTGATCACATATACATGAACATCTGACACATTATGCTTACCTGCATATTGCAACCACAGGAATCCAAAGTACAGATATGAGAATCAGGAACGCTATCAAGACGAGGGCCCATACTGGCCACTCATGTCGCTCAGTAACACCCTTGCTGGACACCCAAGCTGGGTAACCACTGCCATCCACAATTATCTCCACAAAACTAGCCACTAAGATGGACAGCATGGCTAGAGGAGACAAATACTTCCAGCAGACAAGCCAGTAGAGACCTGGACGTCGTCCCGTCATCAGCTCAATATCATCAGCAAATCTGTGAAAGGGTCTTTATTAAAACATGTTCTGACTAATTTGTTTATAACTTAAACCACTGTTGTACCTAACACAATTAAAATACTTCAATGTTTCATTATTTTCTGTTTGGTCTAATTTTAACAATAATGTTAACCTCTCTCACATACGTAAGAATTCCAAAATATCTGCTATCTAAAGATAGAAGTCAGTTTTAACCTAAAAAAATATAAATTTTTTCACTTAATATTACTAAAATTTGTCACTGACATTAACCCCATTTGTATTCGGTCACTAAAGACAGCGATAGATCTGACTATCCCAGACTTACAGCCTTTATCAGACACCTTAGTCAACTTTATTAAATTGAATAAGGTTTACAAGCCACACACTTTAAACAGAATGTAACTAATTAATAAAATTGTAAACCCTAGACCTGGAGTAGGGACATAAAATATACCCCAAAATATGAACCATACAACATTAGAATTAGAAAGTGTAACTTACCTTTTTAATCCATATACATATGACACACCAATACACTCAAAAAATGCAATGATGAGGAGCGGGAAATTGCCACTAAAGTTGTCAAATAGGATGAAAACATAACTCCCAGCTCCATGCGCAAAGGCCATTGAGATACTGCAGCAGATGAGACATAGCACTCCTGTAATAAAAGCAGCAGCATAACTAGAAATGTATAATGGGAGGAATTTTACATAAATTAATTTAATTTGTTGGCAGCAATGATTTTTTTTGGCCAAAAACATCATTTATCTGTGTTAAAATATCACATAACTCTACAACTGGCAGTGATATTCTTAGCAACCATTTTAAAAACCTCGTGTGCCAGTGTTAAATATGGGTTATACAACGTTTTAGTGGCTCCTGAAAAATAATTTAATTCAGATATATAAAGTTTTGAAAGTAAATAGACAAAATTTACCACGATGTACTGTAGTGTAGCTCTGCGCACATTATTATTAATATTAAATTTACAAACCTGTGAGTATTTCTTTCCGAAGATTTGGAAAGAGCTTCATATCCACTATGGACGTCACGACTCCTTCTAATGTCCCAAACTGGGAATCAATCCCAAGAGTGAACAGCATGAGGAAAAATAGAATGGACCAGAATTGTGCACCTGGGAACTGATTTATTGCCTCTGTGAAGATTATGAATGCCAGACCTGTTCCAGAGGCTGACTGCAATTGACGCAATAAAAGAACAATATATTAATCACGCAGTCCATTCACCTTAGATCAAGGCTTCTCAACCTTTAACCTAGGGCCACAAGCAACTATTTTTATCAAGTTGAGGGGCACAAGGGTGTAAGTGACAAAAATGACAATAGATTTTTGTTGATGGCATGACAAAACTTTAAGTTCTCTTTAAACAGGAAATTTCTTGAAGAGGACATTCTTCTGGGATGTTGCACCATATAGACTGGTAAAAGTTTAATGACATTTCAGAGATGCCTGCTGCCTCCATCATCATGGAGTCGAGTGGCAGCAAGCACCTCTGAAATGTCAGTAAACTTCTACCAGTCTACATGGTGTGACATCCCAGAAGACTATAATCTTCTTACTCACCACAATGAGAACCTGAAATCTCACTAGGATACTTCCAAACTAGCTGAGTAACCATTAGATTCACAAGGAGATCCTGTAGTGCGGAGCCAATTGGTTACTTAGAATAGACAAGGTACTTACATTATCGAGCTCCTTTTGCAGATCACACTCTGGGATAGTTGGCATGACTTGAGTTTCATTATTCCCCATATAGATGATGGTGCCTTCAGGAGGAAGAGAAGTCAATTCAAGAGAGCTCATTCCCAGAGAGGCCAAGGTTAAATTTCGTTCTTCCAGGCAACGCTCATAAATCATGGTTGCTTTGAAACCTATGTAGGAAATATAAATAAAAATAAATTCAGTCATTGGTGGACAAAGACACACACACGAGGAACTGAAAATGCCATTTGCATATAAGTGAACTTCTCATCACAGGAAATGTTTCGATGTGGAAGTACTTGTGTGCAAACCTGTACTTAAAGGAGAGGACAAGCGATGATAAAACAATGATAGGTAGTTTTACTACATACTAGAAGAAGAGACGACATAGTTTTAATGTATACAAGGTGTTTTAAAAATTTAAATCAAGTATATCAAGATATGAACAAAGTAAAATAAACCTGAAGATAACTAAGTGAGAGTCAAAACCTGTTGTTCAAAGTGACTAGCAAAATGGTGCATTAATACATAGTGTAACTGCTTTAACACTGGTGGAAACTGTGTGAATGACTTTTGGTATAATAGAACTGTAAGTACATGATTACCATAACAGGATGCAACTACATATCTTATTAATACTTCAACATGTACGTAGTCTCGAACAAAACTGGTGCCCACATGATACTTGAACATACATGACGGTCAATACCCTGTAGTCATACCTGGTGTTCACACTAACCTATGATAGAGAAGACAACAATGCCAGCAAACATGGACGTGAAGCAGTTTGTGAGGGAGACCATGACGGCATCCCGATAACAGTTGTTATTGACAGGATTGTAAGATGAGAAGGCAATAAGGCCACCAAAAGCAAGTCCCAAAGAGAAGAATATCTGTGTCCCTGCTTCCAGCCACACAACAGGATCTGTCAGCGTCCACCACTGAAATATAATAATATTAAAAAAAGGATACAACAGACTTCTCATGATTGAATCACACAGTTTCTTTGGAGATGTGAGAAATGCATACAAAATTTTTGACAGAAAATCTGAAGAGAAGAGACAAATCACCACTTGGGAGAGGAAGGCATACAGAGTAGGATAACATTAAAATAAATGTTAAAGAAATAAGGTGTAAGAATAAGGATTGGTTTTAATTGATGCTCAGGGTAGAGTCTATTGGCTGAATCTTGTAACTATAGTACATAAAAAACATTCAGGTTCTATAATAAAAGATGGAGAATTTCTTGATTAATTGACTGACTAATACATTCTCTGCTCCACGGAAATACTCATGGAACGCTATCCTGAAATGAAATGTGTCACACCGATACTTCAAAAGTACGAAAACAGTTTCCACCCCAGCAATTTACCTTTGGTGTGAACAAATGGCGTAATCCATCTGACATCCCTTTCAGTGTAACACCACGGAAGAAGAAGATGATAAGGACAATGTATGGAAATGTTGCAGTCACATACACAACCTACAAAGAGAAAAATAGAGACATAAATACAGAAGTACGTTCAACATCTTCGTAAGTTGAAATCCAAAGTTAACTCAATAGGTACTGAATGGTCAGTGTAAATCACATCCTTTTGTCAACCTGCCAGTTTTGGCGGTACTAAAAAAATACACCCATAAATTTAACACTATTTATCAGGGCTCCTGAAATACACATGCTTAATTATCACATGCAAGTACATTTCAACCTTAGTCTAAATGTATTAAATATTTAACCAAGAAAGTATTTCAGACAGGTTTCCATTTCTTTTCATATTGCTTGAACTTTTAACCATTTTACGAATAAACACTTAAGCATGCAAAAGAAATAAACCTAATCATAGGGAAATTGAGGGGAAAAAATTAATCAATCCAATTTTAGTCATTTACTTATTATGAACATTTAATTTAATTTATTTATCTTTTTGTCGGATCATTGTTTTCATTTGTAAGGGCTGGGGTGGCAAATTAATTTTTAGTTTTGCAAAATATAATTGGAGATAATTCTTCAAGCTCTGGTGCAGATATTTTTATCACACAGTTATATGCATTTACCTTTCCAGAAGAAGCAATCCCTTTGATCATGCACATGTAGACCAGAACCCATGCGACCATAAGAGCCAGTGCAATCTTCCAGTTGAAAGCTTCTGGACTATTAATGTCCTCAGAAATCATGAGGGTAGACCGATACCAAAAGTACTGTGTTGGGGTGCTAGTCTGTAAAATATATATTTAGCAATAAATACACAATATTTTAAGTCTACTCTTTGTATAAGAAAATATTTGTTTTAAAACATATACTTAGGTTTATTCTGCATGATTTTCTAAATGTCGTTGACAATAGTTGGCTTACTGCAACAAAATTATTTTAGGAACTGTACACTGTCTGAGTTGTTGCATCATGTAGTTTTGTCGAAGTTTACTGATATTTCTGAGGAGCTAATAAGCACCTCTAAAATGTTGGTAAACTTCTACCAGACTACATGGCACTATGACCCATAATTGCTGCTGTGAGAACCTGAAATCTCACCCACTGTCAGAGATATATCCAATACGCCTTGTCCACACCACGGGTCACACACGGACCACCATGAGACTGAATAAAGAACTCAACAGTGATAATGCAAAGTACAGCAGCCTGAATTACAAGGAACATAACACATATATCAGCATTTAACTTTTATAAAATAACTCAGTCACTACGACTGACAATAACTGGCCATTATTCAAATTTCCTGAATACAAATTGGGTGTCCATCATAGCCGCACACATGCAGCTGTGCCTGTAAGGTTATATGGGCAATTCTCCTGTTAGTATGGTACTTACCACACATTCTGGCTCCACAGTGTATGACCCATTGGCATAGTACTTGTTAGGGCAAGTTGCCCATGGCAGTTCAGACTGGAAACTCTGGAGAAGAGACATTTAAACTGTAAATTTACTTCAATTATAAACATGCAGTAAGTACTTTAATTAACTAGCTAATGGCATGGTACAGCACAGTGTGATACAGTTGAGCAGTTAACAATTATTCTATTGCTCAAATAATTCCCTGGTGATTTATTACAGAGCTACAAATTGGGTCCTAACCTGAACCAATTTAGTTCAGTCTACCCCTTCACAATCAGTTTACATAAGATCCATATTAATATTATTCTCCCATCTACATATTGATCTCCTATGTGGACTTGCCTCCAAACTTCATATGGGAATCTTGTTTCCATTATGCATGCTAAATGCCCCATGCATCACACCCTTATTAATTGTATTAGTTTAAAAATATTAGGTAAAGTGTATAAAGCTTGTCATGTCATCTACAACTTCATCCCTCTTAATTCAAAATATATCTTTTTCTGGTCTTCGTTCTCAAAAACATTTGATTTATGCAATGCAACAGAGGAAGAAACAGGTTTCTGAATCTCAAAAACATTTGATTTATGCCCTGCAACAGAGGAAGAAACAGGTTTCTGAACTGAATAGCAGCAATTCTTTCCTAAATGTATGGATCTAAATTTCATGACAGTGTCCCTTTGCTAATCTAGCTCGCGTCTGGAAAATGTTTTTGTACCTGGACGAAATAGAAGAGACACCAAGCGATAATGGTGTTGTAGTACAGAGCTACGTTGAAGGACACGAAAGCACTGCTGATACCAATACCACCCAGGTAGGGTGACACCTGGTTCCATACTCCAATTGCACCTTTCCTCAGTCGTTGTCCAATTGCTAACTCCAGGTAGAAGATAGGAATACCCTCAATTGCCAGCATTACAAAGTATGGGATCAGGAATGCACCTACAATAAAATAAATTCATGACAACTCCATCACTCTCTTCAATCTTCAGTCCTTATTTTAAAACATAAATTACAATTATAAACATTTATTCTATTCACTATTCACTATTCACTATTCTGGAATGTGATCCCATGCGAGTTTGTAGACTGTTAACAACATTCCTTTGAGATGCTGATAACAATCTACAAAAATACGGTTTCATGACTCATAATATAAAATTAAAGTAAGACAAATACTCAAACAGGTCTATCATACCAGCAGTAAAGACATTTCAGCACCATTTGAGAACAAATCAAACAGAGACTTCAGACAACTAAAAATCTTTCTTAACCATGAATGTTAAAACCATACTCACCACCACCGTTCTTTTGGGCCAAATATGGGAAGCGCCAGACATTGCCAAGACCAACAGCATAACCAATAGTAGCCAATAGGAAGGTGAGTTTGCTGTCCCATGACTCTCGTTCTTCGTCACCACCTTCGGGTCTGAACACTTGTTTACCCTCACCAGAACCTAGTTTACTGCCACCACTAACATTTCCCGTCTGAAAAAAAGGATTTGGACAAATATCTCATAGGTTTCCAGTGACAAAGGACAATGAAGGAAATTTAATCAGCGACAGAAGACTGCAGTGTACCTGAAACAAATATGGAACGTGCAAGGTTTCCATATAACGCAAATCACGCATATCAGATGCAATCACAAACTATGTTTCAGACCGACAGCCATAGACTTAATATCATGAAGTCCAGTGTTAACTACATGTACCACCTGCTTAAACATTTAATAACTCTGCATTTTGCCTCCAGAGTGTATTTACGGAGTTTGTATGACTATCATAACAAACAGCAATTTTTTCACTAAACAACATTAACCAACTGATCTTCGTAATGGAGAAGCGCTGTCAAGTCCATGTCATAGAAACTGGATTTTTAAACATTATTTAGATGAGTTTCAGCTTTAAAAATTCAAAATTGGGTCTTTATAACTATAGGTACTTGATTTGAATTAGCAACCAATTTGAGGTTTTCCCCAGTCTTTGAAAGCAGATGTCTGTACAATATACTGAAACAGACCATGATAACCACTTTACAAAGCCTTACTTATTCACAATTCATAATCATCATCCAGTCTCATTTTTGCACTATGTAACATCTACAGTTCAAACAGTGTAGTTACTTCAACTAAGAACCATCATGTCATGACAAATCCCACCTTAGTGTTGGGACTGGTGTCATCGAAAGCCACATTTGTGGCACCATAGTTGTGGGACAGGTTAGAGTTTCCATTCTCCACGACGAGTCGTCCACGGAGTTCCTTCATCTCGAGACGGTCCAAAGATCGCTGCGGATTCAAGTTCTGGGAGCTCTGGCGGCGAACTAGATGTGCCGTGTTGGCCATTCTTCTTCACTCGTTCGTGTTAGAGGTGTGTGAAGCTTACATGGCAGACAGACAGGAGAGTGAGCTGCAACAGCATAACCGAGGACTCGATTAGCCCTGAAACAACAGGAAAAGTAGTGTCCACCTGTTATTCAGTGTAAGAATAGCATACATGTGAACGTCAATAGTGAACAGATGAGTAAGGATGCAACCTCATGTAACCCTTCTGATTGTACCTAATCAACACCAATAATGCATACAATAACAATTTGGTAGCAGAACCCAATTGTTCGACAGTGATAATACCAAAGCCACTGTCAAATATGATCCTGAGTCAGTTTCATTGAACATTCATCCTCAGAATCTACACCTGTAAGATCCGTCTTAATATTATCCTCCCATCTCCTTCTCGGTCTTCCTAGTGGACACTTTCCAAGCAGGTTTTCCAACAAAATTTTGTGTGCATTGTAGGATTTGAGGTTTTTAAGGCGATGAGTCTGAAGATGACTTTCTTCTGGGTTGTTGCGCCGTGTAGTCTGGTAGAAGTTTACCAACGTTTCAGACATCCTTTCTTCCTCCATGTTCAGGGAGATGACGATAGAGGCAGAAAGGACCACTGAAACGTCGGTAAACTTCTACCAGACGACAGTGATCAAAGACCCAGAAAGCAACCATCTCCTCTGTATGCATTCTTTGTCTCTTATTAATTTTACACCCAGCCTACCGCAGCCTCAAAGACTTCACTACCACTGTAGTCTTTCATTATCTTGAAAATTACCACGACTTCTGTATAGATAAAACATTATCATGTATATTGTGCACAAACCATTTGGATTTCCGTTTGATCTCAGTTCAAACCCGTAGACTAAATATAGGTTGCCCAAACAGAGAGAGAAAAAAGTTATGGTAGAGTGAAATCGCAGTAAAGGGTATTATAAACACTGACAGACAACGACATTTTGAATTTATTAAATTATAATTTATGTAGCCTCTGAAAGTAGAAGTTCTAAGTTCTTGCCAGAAATTTATGTCTGAAGTGTCTCTGAGAATAATATTAAAATGGATATTAGAGAAATATGATGAGAGGATTTACACTGGATTCATATGGCTCAGGAAAAGGACCAGTGGCGGGCCCTTCGCTTTAAAAAAAAAGAGCGAATCTCCTGCTTTAACTGGGCGACTATCAGTTTTCCAAAATGGATTTTTCTGTAGCCTACGCAGGACGTAAACACGCAATACGAAAGTAATAATTTTAATTACGGTTGCTGTTATCTGATTTCCCTGCGGACAGTGCCACACCCTTGGTGAACCGTCACCGGATGCAAACACTTCGCCATATATGAACAACACAGTATCCGCTAGGCTTAGTTTCATATGGAGTGTATCCACGAGCATCACATCCTACAGGAGAAGGAATTTTCTCTACCTAGTTACGTCAAGCTACAACCAAATTAGTTGAATTCTGCATATTTCATTAAGGTGAGAAACTTAAACTCGTTGTTTTTATATTTCATGAAGGAAGACAGCTAATGTTACTATCGTTTGTGAATAAATCTGTCCTTGTGTTTAATCATAGCAATATCACGTACGTCATCACAGTAAATGAGAGATATCCCTGCATATTTTATGTTTATAGGGCGTATGAATCATTTTGCCGACACTCGTAAAACTCAGTTTGCACTTCATGATCATTACCCCAAACTTTATGTCCCCCATCCCACAAAGCTAAAAAGCTCTGACCTAAAAGTTCACTACACCAACAATTCTCTGAAGGGGCTAAGCACCCCGACGCGACTTATGATAGAGATTTGAACTCGGGACCTTGCAAAAGTGAAGCAGGAGTGCTAACCACTCGACAGCGACGTTTGGTTAAACGTCTTTTAATACTCTATAGAAACATTATAAACGAGAATGATACTTGTTTTACTTCTAGGTTACACTTTAAAATAGGCATTAAAAATTGACAGAAGCCCAAATTTTGCGGAACATTTATTCAATGGATTACTAACTTCATTTTAACCTGCAGGCCAGTTCATTTTATGCTCACATTTGAGCACTTAAACACACCAAATTTCATAAGTTCACGCCAAGGTTCCTATTATTTTATTATTGTTATGTAATAAAATGCGCGGATGACTGTTTCTGATCAATAAATATCATAATTATAGTGATTGGTGTCGCGGATAATAATTATAACGATGAAATGTAAATTGTATTCATCTGGCTCAGAATAGGGACTGGTGGCGGGATTTTGCGAACACGGTAATGAACCCTCGGGTACCATAATTTGCGGAGAATTTCTTGACTGACTGGGCATAGAATTAGCTTCTTAAGAAAAAATCTCAGTCATGTAGTAATTTATTACACGTCATTTACATGATGTGTATGAAACAAACGCATACAGCGCTGACCATGTCCGTCTGTTCGAAAAATACGAAACAGCTTTTCACAAAAAATAAATAAAATAAAAAAATAGAAAAAATAAATAATAGTAATAAAAATTAAACAGGCATACGGAAAACATACAATAAAAATCATGTGTGAAGAAGTCGAATTAAACAAGCAACCGTAAGCCACAAATTCTAAAATACACAAAGTTTCTTCCCTATAAGGAAGTATCTGAAATAAAACAAGATATAAGCTACAAATTTGTTTGTGTTATTTTAAGAACAGGTCGATAATTAAAGGCGTTGCCAGGAATATTAATCACTGTTTATCTTCGTGCGATACACGCCCATCCTCTGCGGGCTACCTGTTTCTCCACGCGACTAATTTAAATGAACTTCATGATACAGACTCCATACTGAGAACATGACAGTCGCTCAGCTGGTCAAGAAATCACACGCCTTTCACATATAGAAAAAATTCTTACCGTGTTAACAACGTATCGCCACTGGACCCTACCCTGAAAACAGTCCGTAAAATTATATCCTATTCTTATCCATCTTAACATTATCCTCCCATCTATGCCTAGGTTTCCCAGGCTGTATCTCATCTCTACAATGCTTGCTACATGCCCCGCCCATGCTAACTTCTCTTCAATATGCTGATTTTTGTCATCCTTCACGAAGCAATGATAACAGACTAAAACGTGTTTATGTTTCGATTTTCTGTGCAGATTACAGCAAATTCGCCATGCTATCAAGAGTGACAGTTCTTTTACTCATGCTTCTGATGACCTCGCCCGTTCTCATTTTCTGGGCATGGTTGCTCATCCTGCCAACAAGAGTAGCATTTCTGTGTCCTGAGGGATGCTGGTGTGATCCAGAGGGCAACACCATCGATTGCTTCAATTCGTCATTAAATAATATTCCCAAAATTTCCCTGAAGAACGTCCGGGAACTTGAATTTCGTCACATCAATCTGACCTATTTGCGGAAGGACAGTTTTCTTGCCAGCAGAATGACACAGCTGGAAACCCTTCGCTTAGACAACTGTGGAATTGTCAGAGTAGAACCTGAAGCATTCAACGGGCTTATCAAGTTGGTACTACTGTCAATGACTGGCAATAAGATGAATGAAATAGAACCACGAACATTTGAAAATCTCACAAACCTCGAAAGACTTTACTTGATAAATAACAAAATCGAAAACCTGGAACTACACGCGTTCGTCGGTTTGCCAAATTTAAGTAAAATCTGGCTTAATACAAACAAAATACAGTACCTTCACCCGGATTCGTTTCTAGACGCATTAAATTTATTCTCATTGCATTTAGACAAAAATCCAATGGCGAAAATTCCAACAGACCACCAACTTATAAATTCTCAATCTTTGAGAAATCTTCACATATCAAACTGCAATGTGAGTTCTGTATCAGCGGAAACATTTGCGAACGTCAGTGGACTGGAAACGCTGGACTTGAGTGGAAATCATCTGGCAGACATCGACGTAAAAATCTTTGCCGTTCTGCCACAACTATCCACATTCCGAATCGCCCTAAATCCCCTAAAGTGTGACTGTCAGCTGCAGCAAGCGTGGAGATGGTGTCAGAACCGCAACATAACAACAGACACCGGCGACAAAGCGCCAGAATGTGACGGTCCAGGAGAAGTGAAAGGAATGTGGTGGGACGTCTTGAAGCACTCGCAGTGCTTACAGAATCAAATATCGTATCACGGAGACTATAAAACGGTACGCTACAAATACACTGTTGCAGATAATAAATTTAAAAGGTACGGTCGTTTTAAAACACACGTCCAAACTTTAGTATACGCGATTCTGTTCGTGTTTGGGGCAACTGGAAATGTGATAATTCTTATCATTATCGTGTGTAACAAGGAAATGCACACTGTACCAAACATGTACATCCTTAACTTGGCTATAAGCGATGTGATGTCCTTAATAATAAATCTACCTCTTACTCAGGCACGCATGATGTCAGGCAAGTGGAATTATGGCGAATTCTTGTGCAAGTTTTTCGCATTTTTTCGTCGCGTGTCAATTGGTCTGTCAGCGTACTCTGTAGCCTTACTCAGCATACAGCGATACAGAGTAACAGTAAACCCTATCCAAATTCATGTCCATTCTCCAGTAACCTGGCGTGTTACTGCGGCAACCATTTGTGGATTGTGGATTCTT